CATTCCTGAGTCCATAGTGATTCAATACACAGTGGTTTTTAGAGTCCCAGCTCATACTCATACTTCATGATTACTTTGCTTTTCCAGTTTAGCAAGTGCTTTTTGCTGCTTATGCAGAGGCTGAAAATGACAAGTCACTGAAAGCAGTAACAAGATAGAAATTTGATAAGCAGATGGGCACAGCACAAAACACCATGTTGTGTTGGACTTGTCTCTCCCAAGCTAAGCAAGATTGGACTGAAACAGTGATTAAAAAGGTGTTATGTGGAACGTCTTCATTTGTTGTAAATAATTATGCTTGTTTAGAGCATGCCCTTACAGGACAGATTCACTACTAGCTCGTGATGTTCTCAAGATTGAGCTTTTTGATGGGCAGCAAAAAGGATGTTCAGACTCTGCTGAAATCTGTAGTTTTGAAATAGTTACTAGATTATTATTTATTTTCAGTTCTAGGTATTTTGACCATATTCCAGGTCCAGTGATCACTACTTCAAAATTTTCACTTTAAATTTAATTAAGCTTGTCTGCTTACGGCAGTAAACAGTTGGGCTGTTTTTCACTACACTACAGAATATCCCTAGTACAGTTGCATTTCAAAAAATGTATTTCTGTGAATGCTCAGATGTTATCTTTATATTATCTTTTAGTATATACTTTAGTGGCAGGAGTCATATTTATATACAAGACTGCATACATCGCCAATAATTATAATGTAAGAGTTATTGTTAATGTGTTACCAGTGTGTATTAATAATATGTTACCTGTAAAAACTGATTTTGTTCTCTGAACCTTTTGAAAGCTCTGGAGCTGTAATCTCACAGTAAGAATTGGGGTAGGAGGGGAGAAAAAAATGATATAAAAGTTTATAGAGAAGAGGAGGATGGATTGTATACAAATATGTGATTGATTCTAGTTTTGCTGAAATGTCTCTTAAGGCTTATGAAAGGCTAGGGCTTTTAAGCTCTTCAAAGCCTCTTGAATCCATGTTTATATATAGCAACTTCCATTCATGCTTACCTTTCACTGTGTGGGCACCAGAATATGACGCTTTGCCCTAAAGCACAGTGACTTAGAATTGCAGCAGCTGGGACACTGGTAATCTTTTATATAAAAACTGGATCACCACAGGTATGTCCCTTTTATGACTTACGCCAATAGAAAGTCTAACCCCAAATATAGGTTCTACCTCTGTTCACACAGATTGAATACGAGGATGTCAGCACAATTAATAGGAAAATTTTAAAAGTGGCTATGTTAATTTTAGTTTTGAAATGGTATTTTTTAAGGATCTTCATAGATCCTTAAATGGCAGCCTTCTAAGGATCTTCACAGAAAAGAACAGCATCCATGGTATATATGTTTATAAACACCTTATGAGATTTAATAAATCTCTTAATCTTGTGTTTTAAAATATATCTTAAATATTATTAAATTATTCTTATGAATTAGATGTGCAAACACTCCATAGTTTCCTTTAATTCTTTTTATGGATATCAGAATATATGATTTTTGAAAGAAGTGTTTGCAGTTAGTTTGTAGTGCTTGGTAAAGCATTTGTCTTCCTCAGTTGTCAGTCCAGTACTAGCACAGTAGATGCTTTGTAAACTGAAGCAGAAGATAAATTTTTATTTGGATTACCCTTATTATTAACTTTACAGTAAAGAAATTAAAAAGAATGGATAATGGAGCTGAGCATAAAATGTAGGAGTACTTTAGTTTAAAACCCAGTAAGAGCTCTTAATCCACTAGGAATAAATCCACCGCAACTGGATAGTGCTCTGAAGCAGAATGCAGACTGTTCAAGCCGGGTGAAGTGCAATTTCCAAATCCAACCAGGCTTCTTGTATGGCTGGTTATTGCTCATTCTGCTTTGTTTTGAATCTGGGTGACTGCTCATTTCTCTGGCTTCCTTAACTGTTGGGATTTTTAATTCTTCTGTGGTATTTTTTTACTTTTTTTGCGCAGTGTCAAACGTTTCTGAAGCTCTTTCACACTGAATCATTCCTCTTCTCATTAATGTTTGTGTAGGCCTGTCTGTGTATCCATGCAGAGTAGAAGCTGTGGGTGTAATCATGTAGCGGATACATGGATGATTATGATTGATATTTTAGTTGTATATACACCTTAGATTTTACAGCTTGCGTATTACTGTCAGGGTGCATCTTGATTAAAAATTAAAAGTTACACTGCTTTTAGCTGAATTCCTCGTACTTTGTTCAATATGTCTCAGTGCTTTCTGTCTCTTGGGAAAAATTCATATCCAAGATGGTTTCTGGCATGTTTTGCTGCTTCATTTTGACCTGGTTTAAACACTAGAAAACTGTCTGGATTTGTACAGGTTAGAAAACACCTGAATGCAGGACATCAGAAAAGCAGGGTAGACAGACTAGGAAAGGAAAAGCCTGAACTGTTAAACAAACAAAAAACCCCCACCCACCCAAAACTATTGTTTTCTGTTGTGTTGATTTGGGTGGATTTTCTTTTGTTCGTTTGTTTTTTTTTTTGTTTGGGAATGTAGAGGAATATACACGTGAAGTTTTGCGCAGGATGTTTTTTCTGAAAGCCTGTAATTTTCTTCCTGTGCTTGTTTGGAGTTTTAAACAGCCTGTTACTGGCACTTTTTTCCTGGTAGTTTCCACCCCACCCCTCCAAAATGCACTTAACCAGAGAAATGTAGTGTGATTCTACTGTTACTCATGTTGGCTGTAAACAACGCTGGTCATCAATTAGATTTTTTCCTGCTATCATTTTGGGTTTTTTGGTGTTTCTTTGATTTGTGCATAAATGTTACATAAATAATCATTATGAATAATTTAATTGGAGATGTCAGCATTTGCAGATGTCTCGTACTAATCCATGCACACATAGCTGCTTTGTAGTTCTGTATATTGCAGCAATCTGTTTTGAATATAACAAACTAGCTTGTTTGCATGAAGACGTCTTAATAAACATTCAAAAGAAAGTACTAAAAACACAGGCAAGCAAAAAGCACAGATGCTATTTGTAGGAATCAGTGAATTACTTGTAGTCTATTCCTTCTAACAGTTGGTTTTCCTCTTGTAGAACTTAACTAAACAACCACTTCCCAGTTCCACAGAAAACAATGGAAGTGGACCAGCCTCCCCGCAGGTACCTTCCCTCTTCCACTACTGTGTTATCTTGTATTGTGTTGGCTTAAGCCCCCAGTATATATCTTCATGCTGGAGTAGGGATGACAAGTCCTTGCCTGTCAGGACACTAGGATACTGCTTTGTGTGTAATCCCATTAGCTGGTATTAAGTGTTGTTACTGATGCTTGGAGCTTTCTTTCGTAGGGACAGGTTAGCAGTGTGTGACGGCGTGCCGCGGCCTGCCTGCGTTGAGATGCATCTCGTTGCTCATGGATGCAGCCAGCATGGAATACAGAGCGTTAACCTCGCTTTCAAAAGTAGAGGGCACGTTGCATTGCTAGAAAGCTAATTTCTACCTGAAGGAAAAGAACTGATAGTCTTAAAAATTGTCACTAGTGATAAAGGTGGAGGTCATTGTTTAATATGTTTCTGTTGTGCTTGACCCCAGCTGGCAACTGAGCACCACACAGCCGCTTGCTCACTCCCTCCCAGTGGGATGGGGAGGAGAATCGAAGAGTAAAAGTGAGAAAACTCATGGATTGAGATAAAGACAGTTTAATAGGTAAAGCAAGAGCCGCGCGCTCAAGCAGAGCCAAACAAGGAATTCAGTCACTACTTCCCGTCAGCAGGCAGGTGTTCAGCCATCTCCAGGAAAGCACGGCACCATCACTTCCAACGTGTCCCCCCTTCCTCCTCCTTCCCCCAGCTTTGTATGCTGAGCATGATGTCATATGGTATGGAGTATCCCTTGGGTCAGCTGTCCCGGCTGTGTCCCCTCCCAACTTCTTGTGTACCCTCAGTGTACTCACAGAGAAGGCCTTGACTCTGTAAGCGCTGCTCAGCATCCCTGTGTTACCAGCACTGTTTTCAGCAAAAATCCAAAACAGAGCCCCATCACAGCTACTATAAAGAAAATTATCCCAGCCAAAACCAGCAGTCTCAGAAAAAGTTTGGCTTGCTGGAGTGGGATTAGCAGTGGCTCCTAGCATGTGTGTCCCAACATTTGATTGTGGAGGCAACATTTTGCAGTAATGCTTTCGAATCTCTTCTGTAGCACCAGCAATATATGGTACCATAGCACAGAACCTTTTGTTTTAGAACAGCATAAGTACTTAAGCTGCATACATCAATAACTGCATTTTGTGTAAAAATAATAAAGCCATTTAAAATAAAAATAAGAAAAGGACTGTTTAAGACACGTGCTAGAACTATTGTACAAGGTCTTCTGCAATAAATTTCTTCTCTTAATCATAGGAAAATATCTTTGTCTCTTTGAGACAAATATAGTGTTCTGTTTAATCCATCAGGAAGTGAGTGACTTTACTGTTGTCCCAAATAAAAAAAAAAGAGCAACTATTTATATTAGTTACATATCCTTCACTTCTTAAAAGGGGTTGCACAGAAATACATTCTTTTAGAAGTTTAAATTAGAGCTGTAGTTTATTGGTTTTAGTTGCTGTCTGAAATTGCCCATATCTAGTAGTTGCATGCTTGATTTTTCTGCCCAGGGAGATGTGTCTTCTAAGGGAGTGGTGGCTATTTGGTGTCATGCATGCATTGGGTAATAGTTGTTTCTTTGCCCAGGTCAGATCTCTGTTTCCTGAGCTTTACTGTGTCTGTCTGCCTAAAAGCAGCGCGGAAGTAATTACTTGCTTTGAATTTTTGCAGCTGAGTGACACTCCATCTTTCACCCAGAGGCTTCAGCTCCGAGTTCCCTCTATGGAGTCTTTGTTTCGAAGCCCAGTAAAAGAGTCCCTGTTCCGCTCTTCTTCTAAGGAGTCCCTGGTACGAACTTCTTCAAAAGACTCACTGAATCGACTGGACTTGGATGCAGCCGGTCCCGCATTTGATCCACCTTCCGACATTGAAAGTGAAACAGAAGAGCCTCCGGGAAATACGGACAGCCTCAGCAAAGAGCAGTTGTTGCAGCGACTGCGCAGAATGGAACGCAGTTTGGGCAACTATAGGGGAAAATACTCTGAGGTAGGCAATGTTGTGACTGGCTTACTGGGGCAGAGAGGGGGAGAAGATGGTGCTAACAGATACTGCAGTAGTGGATAACCTTTGTTTTCCTATCTGGAGCAAATGGATCAACTTGCAGCTAACACGGAAGTTAAATTATTATTGTAGGTCGTAATTATTTTTGGCCTAAATAGGTCAAATGTTTTTATGGTAATAAAACGTGGAAATCCTTCCCCCCTGCTTCCCCCCCACTTGCTTGTAAATAATCTCATGTTGTCAGCAATAGAGATTAGTTAGTGGTTACTCACACAAAGTAGGCCTATGAAGGTTTCTGCTGAAAGCCTGTGGCAGTGGGTGGAGTTCAGTACAGAGATGAGCACAGCTTATACTTGCATGACAGCAAATTTACTTTTCTTCTGAAACTTGAAGTGCACAATGTGTGCTCCATGCACCTGCAATAGGCAAGTGTTTTGTTTTCAATAAGTAAGTTCTGTTCCCCGTAATTGCCAGGTATTTCCTGGAAGAAATTCACTCAAGGACTATTTCTTTGGCTAGTTAAGTGAAAACCAATGATAGTAGTTTTGCTACTCGTTTTCCAAATTGTTGGGAAAAGTAAAGCTTCCCAAGTGATGGTGTTGGATTCTTTTTTTTTTTTGAAGTTTGTGTGTGTTGTATTTAAAACTGGACATTTGCACTAGTTTTTACAGTTCTTTAAACGTTTGCTGCTCTCAAATACAAAAATTCCTTTGCGGACTTTTGACTGTTAGTGTCAAAATCCCTGGATTTAAAATATGTATACAGCAATTAGAGTATTCAGCATATGCCTGAAAAACAGGTTTCTTCCATTAATTCAGTAATTGTTATCTCCCATTAAGTTTTCATTCTCTTCCAGTTAGTATAATATATTTTTTTAAAAAAGTTTACATAAACAGTGTTGCTAAAATGGAAATTCTTCAGTTTGTAGGTTTATTTTGGTGGGGTCTTTTTTGGTGGGGTTTTTTGGGGAGTGTTTTTTTGGGGGGGGGGGGGGTTAGTGTAGTCTGTTCGGCAAGTCTCAATTTTCTTTATCAAAAAGGCTTGGGTTTTTTTTCTGGTTTTGTGAGTTTCTTTAGTTCTGTTGGAAAGAATTGTTTTGCAGGAGCTTGGAAGAAAGTAGTTTCAATATATGAGTATTTAAGTTGTAGATTTTTTTCTCCAAGTAGGATACAAAGTTAGCATCTCAAAAATGTGGTAAGGGAAACCGTCCATAGTAGCTTTAGTTTTAAGTGCAAAATAAGTATGACTTTGAAATTAGAAGTAATTTTGAATTCTGAACACTCCTAACTTATTTTATATAAGAATTTGAAGATATCTTTTGACTTAAAGATTTCTGGGTTTGGTGTTTTGGATTTGTTTTCCTTCAGTTTTTCAGCAATTTGAAAATGGAATGTTCTAGTTCCAAATGCCATTATGCTACTTCAGCTTTGGACAGCTTAGGCAATTATGATCAAATTTTTAATTAAAACTAAATTGCTCAGTTACTCATGAAATCCTTTTGTCAGCTTACAATGAGAAATATTGTCCACTTCCAGTCTGTCTTTGTCTACTGGGTATATGCAAAGCACACGGGATGAGAACATGCAGTATTTCACAGACCTTTTTTTGCTAGACTTGTAGGTGTGTATTTTTAATGTGTACTCATTGTAAAATTAGTTTTAGTTAAGCTCTCTAGGACGTGTACCTTTACAAATGTACATCCCTGTGGGATAGCTGTCTGGGCTGTAGCAGTTGGTTTTTTGACTGCCTGTATTGAAGTATGGCTGTTCTTAGAGGCCTTTTTAGTGAAGGGAAAACTGTGCACTAATGCCGAGTAACCGCATTGTTTTGTCATGTAAGCTTTATTTTTTTAACACATTGGAGATATTTTATAAATGGAAAAAGGAGACATTAAGAAAATTTAAGTATGTTTCTGTCAGAAGAGCTTTCTCAAGTGAAGAGTTTGAAAATGCAGATAGCAATACAACTAAGCAGATATTTTGATAGCTATAAGCGGATGCTTTATCATCATTATACCTGATTTCTGTATTTTAGCTAGTGTCTGCTTATCAAGTTATTCAGCGGGAGAAGAAGAAGCTACAGGTCAGCATTACTTTTCATTCTCTCTTACCTGAATGCTTTTCTGAGCCTTAAAGTGTGTAGTGCAAATACAGTTTTAATTTTCAGTGCAGTGTGTGTATTTACAGAATACATTGTGTATATGTATGTGTGTGTGTATAACAGAAGACCCCTTCTTAGCTGGGATTTCTAAGGAAGCCAAGCTAATACTGGTTTGTCAGAATAACTGTGGAAGTTGTTGTACTCCAGCCTTTTTTATTCTATCAGCTGTATTCAGGTGATAGACTGCCAGCGCACAGTTGGCAGTTTATGGTAATACTTACACATCAAGCTTGACTTGAAAGAGAAATACAAATCGTTAGTTCTGCTGAAATACAGTTCTATGAGTTTGTTTATACTTTATGTGAAGAATTACATTTAATACATCTAATATTTATTCTTCCTTTTTTTTAAGGGCATTCTGAGTCAAAGTCAGGATAAAGCACTTCGCAGAATTGGGGAACTGAGAGAGGTAATTTCCTTTATTGATTGAATATTTACTTTGATTACCTTTGATTGAATATACCACGTATATGTACAGTCTTTCTCTGTCTAGCTTTTGATTTTTTTTGTTCACTTTACAAAAATATTTTCTATGGCACAGCAGGCTTTTTCCTTCTTTTCATTGGTTTATATGGGGTTATTTCTCTGGCTTGTTTCCTGTTCAGCAGCTTATTTTCATACTCTAAGACAGAATGGTTCATTGTACTGACTGAACTGCTTTTCTGTTCACTGTGAATCAGGTAGAAATGTGTGCATTTCTCGCAGTATCGTTGGGCCCAGCAGTAGGTGACACTGTGCAATTTGTTGCTCTTCTAGTATTGAGAAATACTAATGTTAGGCAAATACAAGTAATAGGCACTTTTAAATAAAGATTAATGACTGTCAATAAAAAAAATTACCTTCAAACTTTTAAAAATACTTATCTTGACCTCAGTTATAATATTTACGCTGGCTTTATGGATTTGCAGTAGTTTGATTTCAATGATAAACTCGGGTATGTTGTGTTACGATTATTGCCTCCGTAGCTTATAGTGAAAATAAAAGGGGAAGCTGTCATGTTGTCAGTATTGATAATAAACGCATTGGGTGTAATTAAAATACATGTACAAATTGTTGGACAGAGCAAATTGAAAGGGCAAGTACATGGAAGCCATGTTGTCAAAACCTGGTGAAGCAGAATTTGAAGCTGAAGGCCTTTTTACTGCCCCAAGAGCCAGTGCAGCATCAGGTTTGGAGACGGGTGTGTGGGGGCCTCTCTGTCTACGCTCATACCCGTTTTGGGAGCTGAGTACCAGCTCGCTCAAAGCCAAGGGCTTCCTCTGTGGCTGTGCTCGTGTTTCTGGCATGTGCTGTGCCAAGCGACAAAGCTGGCGTGGAGGTTGCAAGATCCACCAGACCATGGGGAGGTCCCACCTTTGCCTGAAGGAGACTAGCTCCAGGCAGCTGGGTGTCTCGCTTACAGGCAGGGGCCAGGGTCTGTCCCTTGAGGGTGAGGGACGGTGACTGTGAGCATCCAGATGTGCACGTCCCCCAGGCTCGTGCTCACCCCCAAGGGGCTGCCCCTGTGCGACCGGTTGGGCAGCCAGTTTTCTCAAAGGAGTTCACTGGCAAATTGCGGGGCACGCGTCTTCAGCATTGCTGGGTGTAACCCAGGTAAGCAGGCTGTGAATTTTGTGTGCCATGGGGGTAGTATTTTGGTTCAGATCTGTGCTGCTTCTGCCCCAGCAGCTGAGAACAGTGGGCCAGAGTGCTGGGTGTGCCGTACTCGTCTGAGCCGGAGCCTGCGCCTGGGCTGTCACCCTGTCCTGAGCTAAACTGTCAGCCCATAGGAGGGGAAAACCCACGGCATTGCTGAGAGAAGAGCCTTGCCAATGTTTTTTATTTTTCCAGTTCACTAGAAGGTCAAATGAAAGAAGCTCATTCTGTGTTAAGCCTGTATCTACATGCTCCAGTAGGTTTAGTTTTCCAGCTTATTGGTACTTGGTAAAGTTCAGAAGGCATATATATACCAGAGTTAAGGCTTTCGATTATGAAAAAGGTTTGGACTTGTGCATACTTGTTTTTCACTTCATCTGTCATAGTCTTTCTGATTCATATATATTTAAAAGTGTTTTTTTTTCTGATTTAAAATAATTTAATTTCATTCTTATAAATCTTGTACATTTAAAGATTCCTTCAAATTTAACACTGAAAATCTTTTTTATTAATTTAAAAACTTCCAAAAGTGTGTTTTTGATCTTTTGGAAACCAGAGTGTTACAGCATTAGGTAAAACAAACTTAAAAGAAAAATTACAAATAAAATCATACGTTTCCATTGTGGAGGCTAAAATGTGCAAAACAGATCAGTCGTTGATGAAATAACTTGTTATCAGATATTAATTTTAAAAATCCTTTTCTCTATCATACAGTCCCTTTTCCCCATAAATATGCTGAATCAGACAAGTCTCTTCTAAGAGGCCCATGTAAGAATAAACTAAGCCTCCTTTGAGGCCAAGTTGACAGTGTGAAATAGTCCCTGGAAACCAATGTGTCTTTTGCTTACCTTAGTTTCCTCCTGTTAAGAGTAATTCCTCAACAGCAGTCTTCTCAGGCAAGGATCAGAAGAGACTTTGGGATCCAGCAAGGACTATTTCTGTGTTGGTTTCAGTAAATCTCTTTGGTGCTTGTTCTTGCACTGAGCTGCTTTGCTTTGCTTGAAACGAATTGTTTCTAAAGCTTAGAAGCACAAGGCAGAAGTGTGATCAGTAGCTGTTTTGAATCTGAAGCATTGCAGGATTAAAAAGTGGCTGTAGTTTCTGGGGAAGGGAGAGAGGAATGGTATTCCCAGTGAGCCTTCCAGCACTGTCCTGCCTGTGCACGGCTGAGCAGGCTCAGCTCTCATGGCTGCAGCTCTCAACGCTGGTATCAGGCTCAGGTATGGTAGCCAGGATTCACTGTTGGAGGCCAGGGATGGGCCGCAAGAGAGCAGCAAGGTTCAGCATTGGAGGAAAGCAATGCAGGAGACATCCAGTGCCCTGTGTTTCCTCTTGTTTGCTTTTTTCATCCCTTCTTTTTCTTTCTATTGTCCTCTGTCTTTGCCTGGCTAACAGAACCCATGTTTATGGGTAGTGCTTGCTTTTATACAAGTGATCTTTGCACAACAACAGTCATGGAAGCATTAATTTCCTGGGTTATATGGCTGGGAAGATATATAAGGATAAAATAAATATGTAAAAAAAAATAAATTAAAATACAAGTTTGGGAAATATCAGTGCATACATGAGATGTGTATAGTTCTGATTCTCTCAATAAGCAGTTAGGTGTGAATTAATTTAACTTTATATACATTTATTTTCCTAGTAGAACAATAATTATTTAAATAAACTAAAATATTTAAACTTTAAAAGCATGGGAAATAAATAAAAGAAACCTCCCAAAGGCAGTATTTTATAAGATTATGTAGATCTTACTGATGCATTTAGGCAACATCTACAAGTTTCTAAAGGTGCTCAGCCAAATGAATGCAATTAAGTAACAAGTACAGCCACATAGTTAAGTTCTTTAGCATTCTCTCTCATTTGAGATGTGTTTGAGGAATAAAAAAAAAACCAACTCTTTGCTCTTATAAATAGCATCTGTCATATCGGGGTGCTAGCATATTGAATGAGCATAAGAGAAATTTACATTTCTGCTGTTTATGTTGACTTAATCTGTAGCTAAATGAAGAATCTAGTTTACTGAAGTGCAGTCCCCAACTTCCAGGAGAAATGTGTGCATGGAGAACAGTTTTCAGGAGGAGGCTTGAAGTGGTCCCTACACAAACTTATTTTCAGGAAGAAAGAGTCCTTGATAATTTTGCATCAAATCTACTCTTGCTGTTTTAGTGCTGGTATTATAATGGGATATTCTTATTATGTTGTGTGGAATGTTGTATAGTAAAAGAAACACCCGTTTCATGGTCGTATTCTGGGGTCACAACTACGAAGAGGTATTTTTAGTATTACTTCATAATATTTTGATAAGGCTTTTAGAGTCACATTTCAGTTTTCATTTGAGACCTGTTTGTTTATGATTCTTAGGAGCTCCAGATGGATCAACAAGCTAAGAAACATCTCCAAGAGGAATTTGATGCTTCCTTAGAAGAAAAGGATCAACTTATTAGTGTCCTGCAAACTCAGGTAAGATACCTTACCCAACAGATGTTCTTTAAAAATTTTCTTCAAACTTTTTTTTTTCTTTCAAATTAAGTGTTTTCTATAGTGCGTGTCCATTTTTTTATTATAATTGCTGCACTGTTATAAAGCTTCTTGAGAATTTATGTTCATCTAGTGCATCTTTGTGGTAAAGCATAGAAATTAAGTACATCTTTGTGGTAAAGGATACCTTTGTAAAATCTCACTCATGTGAAATAAGATTTTTTTGATCTGCACTTAAATACTTTTATAATGCCTTTGCTATCAAGAACATAACATTAGCAGATGTTTGAGCTAAAATTGCTTTGGCAAAATGTATGTGTTTTGCTTAATTGGTCTTTGTTTCTCCACTCATAATGATACTATTTTTGTAAACATAATTCCGAATTTAAAAAATGCTAAAAAAAATTCAGACAAATTTTGCTTTCTCTGCTTGCTTATATCAATTTCATTTAACACTCTCTAGTTTTGAAGATGAAAACATGTTCTACTTGGAATCTTTGCGCTTTTTTAACAAAAACACTGTTTTGTTTAGGTATCGTTGCTGAAACAGAGGTTACAGAATTGTCAGATAGGCACTGAATTGCCTAATCCAAATATCCAATCTGAACCACAAGTTCAAAGTCCAACAAAAGAAATCAGTACAGAAAATACTGTGGAACCAGGAAGCAATGGTAGGTATTGCGGCTTTTTCAAGAGATATTGAACTTTGGGGAATAAGCCTGCTGTTATTTATGATGGAGTAACAAATACCTAGGGCTAAAGATACCGTAGTAAGGATATATTTTTTTAGGAGACCATTATTTTGAAAACAGCGTGATAGCTAAAGGACAGGATAACCCTTCTAAGATACTAAATTTCCACAAGAATTCAAATCCAATAGATCTTGCCTTTATTAATAATGATGATAGCATTGTGATTATTGCTTTTGCCGATAGGGGTTGTTACTATCCCCACTTAATACGATTTAAGAGATTCTGTCCCCCATAAGCCAGGACCTATCGCTGGAGTTTAGAGAGGAGTTGCCAGTATCTCTTTTGGTTTTTGTCCTCTTTTGGTTTTCGTAGCCAGCGTCATGTCTTTTGTAGTGCTTTGGAAATAACATAAGTATCCAGTCCCTAGGAATCAGCGTTCAAGATGTTTTGTGTGCTGGAGTCTGCTTCTGAACTATCACATGTAAGACTTACGGTTGTGAACTGAACCTCTGCATTTAATCTGACCCCATTTTCATGCTAAGTACTCTTACAGCCTCCAGAGCATCAGAGCAGAACACACAGTGAAACTTTACCCAATGTGCTAGTTATACAGGGAGGGGACAGCTCAGAAAGACACTAAACATGGCCTTTATCCTGCCAAATGTAGTATTGCCAGTCTGGATGTTTTAGAATTAACATCATACCCAGGCCTGGGAACACAGGAATCTGAGAGGTGTGATTTTTCTGTGCATCGTGTTTTTTCCTGCCTGCAAATATTCTTGTTAGTAGCAGCAGGCAGGTTTATAAATCGTGATGGCTTTTTAATTGCATAGAAAACCTTGTTGAATAATAGCTTGTTTTTGAAGCTTATATAGTAACTGGGGTTTTGCAAATTAATTTGGGTTGAAAGACTGTATTTACTGTTCTGTGTATGTGTAGCATGTTTCTGGCAGTTACAGTAGTCACTAGGAAGTCTGCAGACTTTGCACAACTTTCTTTAGAGACCTGAGAGTCACTCGCAATACGAATGATGAATGCAGATCTACAGTTTGGAAACAGTGTGCATGTGGTAACGTTGGTATGTTGTCTTATAGAGGGTAATGAAGATTCTGTTAAAACACTGGAAACTCTTACTCAGAGGGTGAAGCGTCAAGAGAACTTGCTGCAACGTTGTAAGGAGATGCTTCGGTCACATAAGGAGCGATGTGCCCAGTTAACCAACGAGAAAGAGGCACTGCAGGAACAGTTAGAAGAGAGGCTTCAGGAACTGGAGAAAATGAAGGTATGGAATATGCTCTTTACTTTATGGGTAGCTACTAAAACACAATAAAACTCCAGTATGTCCAAAACTTATTAGTAGGGTAGACCATTAAATGAACTGTCACTGTACTTTTTTGGAGTTAAAGGTGTGAAAAACACCCAGAGTGAACACATTGAGCAATTACTCAAAAAGCTGTAGAGAAGGGTATGAAACCTTACTGTGTGAAAAACCATCAAAATGGTATCAGAAATAAAGTAGCTGTGGGAAGCTGGGGTGAGGAAAAGACTGTCCTAGCCCAGAAGACAGGAAGTAAAATGAGAGAAGTTGAGCAGAGCTAAACCTTTAAGCTTCCTTTAATAGTGGAAGAGGCATCAGTTGTGTAAATGAACAGGAAATACAGAAAGACAGGACAGTGGAGAGCACAATATACTGATATGATGATGACATAAGTGCTGTCCCAAAGCTAAATCAGTATTTTGCTCAGTTTTCCTTTCAAGGCCGTTAATGCCAAGTATGGAGTAAAAGTAAGGTGGCTGATAGTAACAGAAACTTCAGTTCTGGGCATCAGATTCTCTTCTCTGTCTTGGTCTCTGAGCACTAGCCCAGTTTGAAAGAGCTCTGAAATCCTCGAGTATTTTAAGGACCTTTTCCAGAACAAGGCCAGTAATCAGCTAGTAAGTTGCATTGCTGAGATCCTCTTGTAAGGTGAGATGCAGGTGAAATAGAACAGGTGTCTTAAGCAGCTCTGACATCCATGCGAAAACTGTGGAGGCTGTAACAAAGCCTTCAGATACCTGAGTTACTATGGAAGCTGTCAAGCAGCCTAGCACTGGGAGATATAAAAGCTGCCTACTTTAATTTCCCTGGATTCTGTTCTGTGTTCTTCCTCCAAGGCGTAGAGCAGTGTAAGAGCCAAACCTAAGCTGTTTGTCAGAATGTATTTTCTTACAGGTGGCAGTGCTTTGAACTTGTGGTTGGGGTCTTTTTTAGGACCTTCACATGGTTGAGAAAACTAAACTGATTACGCAGCTGCGTGATGCGAAGAATTTGATTGAGCAGCTAGAACAAGACAAGGTAAACCAAAAGATTTTCTTTAAACGCTGTTTAGGTTTTGAAGATGATTGGTTAAAACTCAGAGTATCTGGCCTCTTGGTATGGGAAGCTGTTCTCAGTCGTCTGATGTGGTTTAGTTTATGTTTTAACAAGCAAATAATTTATGCTACTTGAGAATTTTTTTGTATAGATACTTCAGGGCATTTGTCTGTTAGGTTATACTTAATACTGCAAGATGATGTCATTTAAGGTACAGCAATTATGCTGAATACACTCTTCAATGCCAGCTTTAAAAATCAAAACAAACCTCAAACACTAATGGAGATACAATGTAAATGAATTAAAAAATGATGAATGAAGGAAAAGCAACTGTAGTTTTTTAGGAATATGAAGAGTTTCTCAGTTTTTTTGTTCCTTAAA